AGGGGGTTATAATTTTTTCAAAAAAAAAAAAAAAAAAAAAGGGTTTTTTTTTTTTTTTTTTTTTTTTTTTTTTTTTCTTCACGACGCTAGACATCAAACAGATCAGGGGCATGTCAGTGGCTAGGCTGCCGGCGGGGAAAGAGCGGAGGAGGGGTGGAGAGGAGGGCTCGCTGCGGCTGGCGCCCGACGCGGGGAAGCCCCGTCGGGGCACGAACCAGCCCGGAGGCAGCGCACGGGCGGGAGCCGCGCCGGCACCGCCGCCTGCGACCGGCCCCCGACCCCGCCGGACGGCTTCGTTCACGGCTAAAACGGATACCTTAAACACGGGAGGCTTCTGTTTTAAATCTACATATAAAAATTATTTATCTTTTTTTTAATCGTTTTATTTTTTTAATCCCCAACATCAAAGTGAGGTTATCCGCAAAGGCACCTGTCAACTTTAAAAAAATAAAAAGTTAACCAGAGTTCTGCACCGATGGTTTGATGAAAACGCCGGGGAAGAGGAGGAAGATAGACGGAGAGGAGGGACGGAGGTGAGTACTTGTTTCGCAGCGTGGTTGTTTTCACGGCGGGAGGGAGGGAGAACCCCACGGGGCCGAATGCACACGGGCCCCGCCGCCGGCGGCAACGGGGCGGCACGGGGCGCGGAGCAGTTCCTCTCCGCCGGGATGGCCGAGGCCGGAGCCAGGCTTCAGCAAAACACCAGTGCTGCACGTCGTTGCCCCGCGGCTGCCGGTGCGGCCCGCGGGCTCAAGTCTCTACTGCAGCGCCTAGAAGATATTGCCGCTGCCGTGGTGATGCGGGGGCTGCGTCGGCTGCGGGAGGGGAGCGGCCGCCGGCAGGGGCGCCGGGCCGCCGGGGGCCGGCGGGTACCACGAGTAACTACCGAGGAAGGCGGCGGCGGGGCTGGGGCTTGCGGTGCCGGCGCCGCCCGCGGTACGTGTGTGCGGAGCGAAGTCCCACGCGGGGGGCGAGGAGGGAGACGGTGGTGAAGAACTGCGGCGGGGAGGCGGCTCCGCTGGGATCTCTCCGCTTTTCCACATCTTCTTGAACTTGGAGCGGCGGTTCTGAAACCAGATCTTTACCTGCGGGGAAAGGGGCGTCAGGCGGCCGCTGCCTCTGCGGCGCCTTCTCGGCGCCCAGACCGCCCGCGACGGGGCAGGGACGCGCAGCTTTCGCAGCCCCGAGCGCTCCCGGTGCTGCCTCAGCGGCGCTGCCTCTCCGCCTGCACTCCCACCCCGGGCCGTCGAGGCGCCATGGGCCGGCCTTCCTCCCACGCTGCACCCGACTCCGCGGAGGGCGACAGGCCCCGGCGGGGCGGGACGTGCCCGGGGCCCCGCGGCGGAAGCCTTACCTGCGTCTGGGTGAGGCCGAGGGAGGCCGCCAGCTCCGCTCGCTCGGGCAAGGCGAGGTACTGGGTTTTCTGGAAGCGCCGCTGCAGAGCCGCCAGCTGGAAGCTGGAGTAGATGGTCCGGGGCTTCCGCACTTTCTTCGGTTTCCCGTTCACGATCCTGATCTCCGGCTCGCAGTCTTCCTTCTCTGCTGCGGCAGAAACGGCAACCCCAGTGAGGCGAGGCGCTCCCGCCACCTCGGGCCCTGCTCGCAGCTCGGCATCTCCGCCCTCCCCGTCGGGGCGACCCACAGGGAACGAGCGCTCTCCCGGCCCACCCCGTGTCCAGAGCCCCGATCGCCTCCTCGCCAGGCTCACCGAGCCGTCCCCCACGCGGGGCTCGGACGTACCAGAGTCATTGTTGGCTGGGGAGGCCCTGCTGCCGTAGGGCCCGTAGGAGCCGTAGGCGCCCCCGTAACCCACGTCGTAGGCGGCCTTGGCAGAGTAGGGGGCGGTGCCGCCGCCCGCGTAGGGGTAGGAGCTCACGGGGCCGTAGGGCGGCCCGCCCGCTGCCCCGTGCTGCTGGTTGGTGTAGTAGCTGCTGTCGGTGGCCGTGGAGACGGGCAGCGTGGGGGACTCCTGCGGCTTGTGCAGGCCGCCGTGCTGGTGGTAGCTGCCGGCGGAGATCTGGCTGGTGTGCATGTCCGGCATCAGACTCTCCAGCACCCCCGTCATCCCGCGCCCCCGCCTGCCGGGGCACGGGTCACCGCCCCGCGGCCGTCCCCACCGGGGACAGGCGGTCAGAGCCGCGCCACCATGCTCGCCGCGCTCCGCCGGGGCGGTGCAGCCGCGCTCCCGCCGCCGCCAGCGGGACGGACTCTGCGCGCCGCGCGCCGCCGGGACGGCATTTAACACCGGTCACGTGGCGCGGCGTACGTCACCTAGCAACAGCCAATGTGGAGCCCGCCCGCGCCGGCGCCCCGCGGAGTGCGGGACGGGAGCGGCGCCGGGCGTGGGGACGAGCGGCCGCGGGGTCGCCGGGGACCGGGACCTTCCCCGTCGTATGGCTCAGGCTGCTGCGCCTTTGGTTGGAGGGGCCGGTCCGATCCGCGCCAGCGAGGGCTCGGGGCAGCGGCTCACCCGGCCGCTTCTGCCGTGCTGTGTCTCTGGTGTGTGCCCCCGCCTGGCCGGCAACCTCGGGCAAAGATCCGCGCATCGGTCTCCCCCTAAGCGGCATCCCCACGCGGGCGCGCCTGACTGCGGGTGGAGATGGACGGCCGCGTTTGGGGTCCCTCTCATTTATTGTGGCCCCGGGAGAGCGCGCACATCGCGGGAGATCAGTAACCCGCTCTCTGTGCCAGAGTGTCAGAGCTTTCCAGTGAAATCTCCGTAACATTACACGCGGAGGGGCGACATTTCGCCTAGCACGCGTATGTTGTACGGCAGATGCTGACGTCCTTCCACGCGGCAGCCCCCAACGGCGCCTGTTGCAGCCCAGGCACGACGGCGGGGCCGGCGGTGCCAGGCACCCGCGAGCCCGTCTCCGCTGGCGGTCGCACCAAGGCCGTCGGGGCTGGCTGTCAGTCGGGCGCGGCGGCGTTACCCTTGGCCGCCCTCTGCCGGGGGCAGCGCCGCGGGGCAGCAGCCGGAATGGTGTCTCAGGTGCGCTGAGTGGCGCTTCGGAACTGATTTTTACTCTTGTATGTTATTTTCCTCGCTCGACTGTCCCGCCGCGGAGCCGGGCCGCCTGCCAGGGAGCGCGTTCCTTTCGCTGGGAGAAGGACCCCGCGCTGCCGGGGCTGCCCGGCGCGGTGCGGCCGCGTCCTTGCGGGAGTCTCACGTGCGTTCAGCGCGGACAGGGAGGGAGGCGGCCCTGTTGCGAGGGTGGCTGCAAATGTTACCACCAAAAGCTGGTTAAAAGGTAACAAAAAAGAAAAAAAAGCGGCCGTCGGCCGTCGTGTTGTTTGCACGTGCCAGGTACGTGGCGTACCTGGCTATCCCCGCGCGCCCTGAGCTCGCCCTGCCTCACGAGCCCGCGCGTGCTCCCTCAGGCCCCCTCCTCGCGCTCGTGCCGCCCCGCTCCGCCCGGCGGGGGCCGCTCCCTCACGGCGCCGGTGCCGGGCATCCCGCTCCCGCCCCGGGCCGGCCTCGCCCCGGTCTCGGCCGCTTTGAGGAGGACTGTGGCTGGAGCCCGATTCTGGAGTCTGTGCCTGCGGGGTGGCGGCGCTGCGGCGAGCGCAGGTGCGCGGGGCTGGCCCTGGTCGTCTGCCAGCGGCAGGTGGGCCCATGAGTGGGGCTGCGGGAAATGGGGCGCTCGGCTGGGGCGCTCGGCTGAGGCGGCGGTGAGCCCGGGCGCGGCCTCCGCGGGAACCGACGTGCCCAGAACCCGGCGTGATAACTCCGGAACCTGGCGGCCGGCCCTGCTGGCCAGCGGGGCCCGGAGGGGCCGGAGCAGCGGCGGTCGCGGAGAGAGCTCGGTGCCCGCTCTCGTGCTGCTGACTCTCCCAGGTATAGCTGGTGCTTAATGCAAAAGAAAACCGGTTTCTGCAGTCGGTAGTGTGATCCCAAGACATCTTTGTAGGACTGTTTCTGTCCATCTTTGGATGAAGGCCGGCAGTCTGAAAAAGCCGCTTGCTGGCACGAGAGAGGGACAGACAGCTATTGGTGGCTATCAGCAAGAAGCAGGGCAATTGGCTACCCTTCATTAGTCAGGTTTTGAAGTGTGTGAGATAGTTTAAAAAATACAGAGGTGAAAGGACACTTCATCTCATACTGAGGACTTAATAAAGCAAAGGACTTACTTGGGAATTTGTCTTGCTATGTGGCAATTTTTATTTTTTAATGAAATTAAATAGTACTATATAATACGTACATGGTGATCTGTACAAAAAGTAAAGGGCATGATTTTGTTTTGTTTGCCTCAGCTTATATGAACAGTCTTTCTTGTGCTTGTTGTTCCTCATAAGTTGTTGGAGGGCTCACAAGTTTAAGTGAATTGTCAAATGATAGCTGCTCCAAAGTCTTACAGCTTTGTTTCTGCAGTTTGCTTTGCTATGTGGAGGCACAGACTTGCTGCCATTTATTTTGCATTTATTTACTTTGCATTTATTCACACGGCTGATCTTGTAGATCTGATTTTGTTATTTCTAACTTACTTGAACTTCTCTTGTGACATGGTTGTTTTAAACACCAACTTGTATAAATAAAAGCATGATTAAGGGAGAGATGACATCAGGCAGCAGGAAGGAAGGAGAAAGGCTTGTTTTAAGTAAGAGAAAACTTGACTGTCATGAATGTTTACAGCACACTTCTCTGAATCAGTCATAGTATTATCAGGAGTTAAAAAAAAATAATGGCATTAGGCTGGCCCAGTGTTTATGTGTTATCATGTTCTCATGTAGAGCTAATAATTTGAATTCTGTTTTTTTTTTTTTTTGTCCTTGCTTTGAGAATTGTGAATGCTACAGGGCTGGGTAATTAGAAGAGACACAGAGAGACTGGGGAGTGAGGGAAAAATCGGAGGAGAGTAGGAGTGTTTTGTGTACCTGCTGTTAATACTCGGCAATCCTGCTTGGTTTTGGTGTAATAGATCATGTGTTATTGTTTATATCCCGTGAGAAGGAATGTTTGCATGATACAAAATATACATCTTACACACATTGGTCATTCAGTTGCACGTGGGAGAAGGATGCTTGCCTTCTTGCTGCAGAGCAGTTCAAAAAGTTTTGGTCATGAAGTTTATATGAATATACAGCACTCACTGCTAGAGGCAACAAAACAATTGAGCTGGCTTTGTTGTTGTTGACTTGTTTGTTTTAGAAGCATCCTCATGCTGACTATGGACATATTTAGTTTATGAAGTATGGTAAACACAGTGTGCATAAACACAAGAGAGGACCATCAGTCTTCAAAATCATCATCTCCAACTGATCAGCTTGTATTATTTTTTAATTATTTTTTAAAAAGACAGTTGTATATGATTAATAGAAATTACTATGGTAACTCTAGGCTGGTATACTTTGTTTAATTTTTTTATTAACTATTATTCCTATGATTCTCTTCCTGAAATAGGCTTCATCTGAGAAAAATGTGAAAACACTTTAGGGCTGGTATTCTGGCTCTATATATGTGGTATAGATTTAACCTAAGGATCAATGCAACAAGTTGTTACACAGTGTTTTATCTCAAGTTTCACTTGAAGAGAACAGCACATAACATTAAGAATGAGGTTAATTTTTAATCTGCTGTATTTTTAAATTCTGTTTTACCCATTAGGATCCACATTTGGCCAAACCATTTCACTTCAGCAAAAATGTGGTGAATCCTGAGACAGGCCTATTATTTCTGATAATATTGCACAGAAGTAGTTAGACAGTAGTCTCTACTGCAGTGGCATGTTAACAAGTATGGATTTCTTTCCATGGCTAAGGGAAATGCTTTTCAGTGGATTTATAGTGATGTAATGCATGGTGTAGTCCTGAGTATTTGCCTTAATAATTGAGGAGTAATATAAATCATGTGCCAGATGAAGCCATGAGGAGGGTTTATGCTTGCACTGTACCTATGAAATCTGGTATCACACTTGAGAGTGATGGTAACACTTCAGTCTTGCTTTTCTCAGGGATTAAGTGTATCAGCTTTTGGGAAATTGTACGAATCTCTTCAACACCCTTCTGTAAGCTTGCTACCTGCTGTGCTTAGTTTCACAATCCAGCATTATCATTTTCCTCTCTAAAAACTGTTTATTGTCTCATTCATCTGTACATCAGATTACTTCATTCCAAAAATCACATAACTCTTCTGAGAAGAATATGCCCCCTTGTGTGGCTCCCTGAGGATTCCTTTCTTAGCCCCTTGTTGTAAACAGCTTATACAAGTGTGACATGAGACATGGGTTCTGTAAAATCCTTTCAGAGTTGTTTATTAAGCTGTCTTGGTCTCAGATTATCTTTCTCGGTGATGATTCACTGGCAGCTCAGCACCTTTCTTCAGCAGAAACCTTAGCAGACTGGAGCACAAACTGTGACTTTTAATAGTGGATTAGTCTGGTGTTATTTAGCACAGGTGTTTCTCAGTTGTTTCCTTGTACAATGTTGAGGAAGTGCACAGCCTGATGCGTTGGGGTGAATGTCTAATATCAGCACATTCTTGGTTCTAATAATTGCTGCAGATGCTTGGTGTGGGAAGGAAGGTCTGTGTGCAGAATGTGAAGGCAGTAGAGCAGCAGTCCTTGTGTGTTTTGGGAATAAAGCAGAGCATGCTCAGACAGTCCCTCTTGCCTCCTTTAAGACTGACATTCTACCGTGTTCTGCAGTAGGGCCCTTGGACATGTTCTGATCATCTCTGGGGCTTTCAGTTTTTTCTTTCTTTACCAGATGTATTGTAAGTAATACTACTGACAAAACCCAAAAACTATGTGCTTTTTCATGGTGGTTTTGTCAAGTGTTTTTTTTTTTACTTAATAGAATGAGATTGGTAGAATAGCTAGAAACTAAGTTTCAGTTGTGTTCTGTGGGAATATTAACTGGCCAGAGGCTAGGCAAGTGGTACAGGGCAAGTGCTTGTCAGCCCACTTTATAGTGGATTTGAACACACTCAGGTTCAGCCAATAGGAAAATCTTTGTTGAAAGTGTTTTGTGTGTGAATATTTAGATGAAACAAAAGTCTTTAGTAAGAGCATGCATGAAAAATGCTTTCAAGATGAATCATTAGATAATTTCTAATATTGCTGTAGA